ATATAAACTTTTAGTGGGTGCATTACTGTTCATGCAGTGCCCTACGTATAACACTATCATGATAAAGATTCTTCATCCTGTCTGTTTTCTCCACCGTCTCTGCTGAAAAAGCACGAAGCAGCCTGCACGTCTCCATCTCATGCTCGTTGAACGAGCCCCATTTTTCTCTTTTTCATCATTAGGCGTTTTGCCTCACAGCTGTTTGGCCACAGAAGAGTTTATCTGTCTGAAAACAGTCCATGAGAAATACGCTAGCTTTGTAATTCCACGGTTTGTCCTACAAATTAGTTGGAGCTAATGATAAGTACAAGCCAGTTTGGTCTCCCCCGAGAGGCTGCTCTCAAAACTTTAGAATAATTATGTAAAATGTATGAAATCTAAAATATTCATTCGCTGTAAATAAATAAAAACAAAAAACATTTTTGGAAGAAAGCGATGCCAAACTGGCAATGGAGACTAAATCCATCATCTAGATTATTTTTTTTTAATCTGTCGCACTCTCACACCCAAATGAAAAGTAAGGATTATGAATTATAGTAAAACCCTCTTTTTCTTCTCTTTTCTCAGATACTCCAAGCTCTCAGATCCAGCCAACTGGTTAAGGATTGACCCCAACACCGGCCGTATTACAACAATTGCCATTTTGGATCGAGAGTCGCCCTTTGTGAAGAACAGTTTGTACAATGCAACGTTCCTGGCCACTGACAATGGTATGTAACCATTTAAGTTGCACTGCAGTTGCCAAAAATACCTTGTTGATGTCCTGTGATATCCCTTCTACATGATCTATGTGTTTTAGCTAGGCTGATACACGAGTGCTCTATTCCTGGCCATTATTGTCAGAGCATTCAGGAGGAGATAATGCTGCCTTTTCAAAAGGAAGTCGAGCGGATGTCTAATATAGCTTACATCTCAAAGGTCACAGACTACCTCTGTGCTGTTTTACCTAAAGCCAGAGCACAAGCACACCGTTATTGTTGGGGGAAGAAAAATAACTACCTCAGTTACAGCCACAAAGACAACCACAATGCTTGAAGGTCAACCTCTTACCAGCCACTTGGCCTGTCGGAACGATGACCACCTTAGCTGAAGGTTAATGTGCTAGCAATCCCAGAACCATCATCCAACATGTGGATGTATTCACCTCTTCCCCGCGCTGGTGGGATTTACCTCTGTTCAGGTTTACCCTGTTCTCCGGAGCATAGCTTAGGCCAATAGGCTTAAAAACTCTACCACTAAAGAGGTTTCTCAGCATTAATGGGTCAGGATTGGATGACTAGCTCCTTTGAGCGTGGCCTGAATGGTAAAAAAGCCTCTTAGCTGAGTGAATACATAGAGGAGCCTGAGAGGAGCGACAGTGGGCTCTGTTTGTCTGCTTTAGTATTCCCGTCCTGTGTCCTTCGTCAGGAAGACGTTCTTTAGGCACACACATTCACACACCCACACACACACACTTAGTACCCAAATGTTCTGATATCTCCCTCTTTCTGTCTACCTCCTCACTCAAGATTAGATTCTCAGATCAGTATGCAGTTTGAATGGGTCTTCTCCCACTAGAGTAAATAGCTGTTTAGAGTGTGTTTTTTTCACCATTAGACTGAAGGATAAACTTCATACTTTGTTTGTCCTGTGGAGTTCATTATGAGTGCAAAACGAGAGCTGGAATTCCAATAGTATATATTCATATCCATATGAAATGAAAGAAAAAAATCCCCCTCATAGATATGTATGAGCTAAGTGTGCATGTGTTGGTCTATGCAGGTGTCCCTTCAGCAAGTGGCACAGGCACTCTCCAGATCTACCTGATGGATATCAACGACAACGCTCCCAAGGTGTTCCCTCAGGAGGCGGAGATATGCGAAAAGCCAGAGCCAAATGCCATCAACATCACCGCCCTCGACGGAGACCTTAACCCGAATGCGGGGCCGTTCGCCTTTGAGTTAGCCCACAGGCCCTCTGACGTCCGGAGAAACTGGACCATCACAAGAGTCAGCGGTAAGACACACAAATTTCATATCAGCAACTCATTAGATTTATATTATACTGTACATTTAAAGCAAGGAGGCCGTGAAATGCATTCAATAACCTGTCAAAGACATTGCTTCATCTTCTTTGACGATGGCCTCCATTTGTATTCATTACTGGGAAAAAATGAAAGGCGAGCAGATGACCCTTTTCAGCCTTTTTATTCCAATCTGTGGCATATCATAATTACAAAGAAGAGTGTAAACTGTAGCAGTATGTATAATGTTCTACAGTCTGTTCTTCAATAACTAAAGCTTGCAACACTTCAGAAATAACTGTCACACTGCAGAGGGGTCAGACAGAGCTGAAATGCACAGTGCTAAAATGTGTTACCCTAACCAAGCACTCATTAATTGTTTATGCTAATTTAAAGCAAAAATACACGAGTGGTAGAACTGTCGTGTGTTTGTTATTAGATAGTGTGATTTGAAATTCAGTGAATATACATCTATCTTAATAGGATAACGGCATTTGGATTATGGCGGCTGGGAATTTAGCGTAAGCAGCATTATCAAAAGGTATTCAGTAGATTTATAAGCTCCAAATCTGAATCCTGGCCGTGTTTTGGATTAGATATGCTGATGCAACTTCCAGGTAGGAATTTACGCTGCATATTTGTGCCGTGTAATCATACTGTGAACATGGTTTACACAAATGGCTATTCAGTTTTCATTTAATCCCTTCTGAAAAACTTACCTGCCACAGAAACATGACGTTGTTTTATTTTTAATCACATTAACTTGCTTAATCTCTACACTCACCTCCTTGTATTGATCGTCTCTAAAAAGGAGCCACCAAAGATCATTCGCTCACTCTCATTTTCTTTCCTCTCTCTCTCTCTCTCTCTCAGGTGACTACGCTCAGGTGAGCCTGAAGATCGGCTTCCTTGAAAGTGGCATCTACGAGATCCCCATCATCATCACAGACTCAGGCAACCTGCCCATGTCCAACACCTCCTACCTGCGGATCAAAGTGTGCCAGTGTGACATCAATGGCGACTGCACCGACCAGCAGCACATCATGGCTGCCGGCCTGGGCACAGGCGCCATCATATCCATCCTCCTCTGTATCATCATCCTCCTCAGTGAGTGTCTCAGTGGCTCTCTCAAACAGCACATCACACATTCATACACACACACAAACACACAGGGATTATAAAGACAGCTAAACATTATCCGAGATACGACTAGATTACTGTAGGATTACCAAAAAGATAGCCTTGATCAGGCCCCCGTCCAAGCTCTAAAACATCAGATCCGATTGCATTTGTATGAAAATATGTAAGTTATTATGTTTTGTAATATGAGATCTCTCTCTGTGTCTGTCCATCAGTTCTCGTGCTGCTGTTCGTTGTGTGGATGAAACGCCGTGACAAAGAGCGTCAGGCCAAGCAGCTGCTCATTGATCCCGAGGACGATGTGAGAGACAACATTCTCAAGTATGATGAGGAAGGTGGAGGAGAGGAGGATCAGGTAAGAATCCCACAATGAACATACACACCTTTGACTTATTTTAACCCATAAGCCTCCGAATATAAAGCATTGTTTGCAAATGCATTTGATAGCTTAAACATTTAGCTTGCATTGTAAATCGTTACCTTTTCCTTAAACAAAGCAAATCCATTAAAAAAAACAAAACACCAAATCCGGAAAACCTGCTCAGATCAATCTCTATCTTCCTCCTTGTCTTGCTGCTCCTAAAACATGTCTCACTGATAAGCATTGGTTAACAGGTCAGCAGGAAGACCATTTGTGTCAGACCCTTCTTTATTGTTATTTACATCAATGAAACACTGCTGTAATCTGCTTCAATATCACTCCCCTCGCTTAGATCCTCAGCCATCGTCTGAAACTGCTTTTAAGTGCTAACAAACAAACATTTCCTATAATGCATTACAACTCTCCTGCCAGTATTCCACCAATGACATTGTGGATGAGACTCATATGTCTCATCCAGCTTTAAAGGGAGAAGCACGCAGTAAATACACGCATATGTTGCATCAAGTCTAAATAAGTTGAAAACATATTTTCTGCGTCATCTCCCCCAATATAAGCATTTTTTTGTTTTGGCAAAGTAAGAAGTGAACGATGTCTGTCTGTGCTGCTTTGTCTTTGTCACGTTGGTTCAGAGAGAGACGTCTCAGTCGTCTGAGCTCCAGTCAAGATATTTAACATTTAAATCAGAATCTGTCGACAGTTGTGTGGGTGTTTGCTTTTTACTCGCCAGGCCACTGCCAATCAAACTTGATCAAACTTTCACAATCCTGCTGAAGCAGATAAGTTTTTGAGTCTTAGTCATAAAACATAAACTTAAACTTTCGGTCTGACTCATTAAGAAATAAATATTTACATTTGTGGACAAATATTAGATATTTCAACATAATAAGATTTTTTTCTGTTTTCCAACTGACGCTCAGTAGAGAGTGACATTTCTTTGAAAGGGTGACATGAGGCGAGTGTGTGGTCTTTGTTAGGGAGAAACATTCAGGTCACATCTTTGCAGCATAGTAGGAGTTTGTGTATAACGGAAGCAGCATACGGACAAAAAGGACAGCCTAGTCTTGTTCTGCAAGCATACATACTGCCCTCTTAGAATGCATTCTTTTTTAATGCTATTCATTGTCATTATGCTGCTCTGAGATTTACCCCGCAGCCATTCACAATGAGGAGTTAGACGGTTTTGTTTTTCTTATTTTTTTCCAAAAAGGAGCTAGGTATCAAAAAACTGGGATCAATAAGGCAAACTGTTCTGGTAATATTGGACATGTTTTCTCAACTGGAACTGGTTCCCATTCCACAACCCAAACACACACACACACTCACACTCTCACACACACTCTCACACACACTTACACTCACACACACACTTACACTCACACTCACACACTCACTAGAATAGGAATGCAGTGCTCTGGGCATCAATAAAGTCATATCTCGGTATCCCCTTACACTGATCAGGCGCATACAGACAAAAATTCAATTGTCCTAATGACCCCTTGTTAGCATAACGGAATCATTTCATCACAAAGGCAGTAATATACCAAATGGGCTATTTTCTTGTTGCTGGCTGAAGTGCTCCAGTGGTTTAGGTATAGCAGAAATGAGCAGGAGACCGTGGCCTGACCCAGTGCAATGCCAAATTAGCCTCTGAGACTTGTAATTGGTAAGCTGATGTCATTTGGAGACAGACATCTGCTGTGGTGCAATAATGAAGCTCTGTCTAAGGTAACAATATGACTGGAAAGCCATTACACATCTGCCAGTGATTAGGCAAGAGGGAGCGCACCCGCTTGTGTATTCACATCGTCACTTTCACGCACAGAATGCACAAACTTGCGGGCCATAACATGTCGAGAAGGAAAGTGTTGCTTGATATAAGTCTCCTCAAAGGTGAAATGAACGGCTGCAGCAATTTATTGAGGGAAAACAAGCTTCCATTTTGAGTGGCGCAGAGGAGGGCAGAGCGCCAGGAGAAAATGGTCTTGTCTGCAGAATTGGAGGGAGTCAGCGTTGGGTAAAAAATGGACCTGACTTTCCCAGCGATGTGGCCTTTATACTGCCCACCTCTGTTCTCCCTATCTCCCGCCAGGGAGGAAATTGAAGTGTCAGACCATTGGGGCGCTCTCGAAGTATATGATTTTAGTTGCTGCCACCATCGCCGTGGTTTGTATTGGTTTGAGACGCACTCATTTTATCAAACGGCGACAGCTGATCTGACTGCTCTCAGCGGACTTGGTAAAAATAATGCAGAAAGGAAAAGCAAATTGAGATGTCGCCGTGCACAGGTTCGCAGGTGAAAAAGATAAAGTGTGAGGCAGAGATGAGTCATGTGCGTCTTCATATGACCTCAGAATATTTTGATGCAGGTTAATTTTGGGAGCCTGGCTATATACAGAGAGTATAAGTGCTTCATGTATTTGTCTCTAGAGACGAAGAAGGGTTTCATGTCAGAGGAACTGAACCTCTCTTACACTACACAGAAGGAAGGAAGCTGTGAGATCATGGTAACGTTGCCACTACTAGACTCAACTGGACAAGAAAATAAAGCAATCAGAATTAAGAGAGTAAAGTAACTAAATATCGTATATATGCTTAATTGTTTTCTTGTTGAGAGTTAGATGAGACACTTAATACTCCCCCCCCCCCGTACCACTGTTTCCAGCCTTTATGCTTAGCCAAGCTTAGGTAACGGCTGCTGGTATGTAACGTAACCCAAAATTTTCAACTTTTCTTTAAAAGCACTTTTGCTATATCATCTAATATATTAAGGTTAAATTAAGAGCGAGAGTTACAAAAATGTTAGCAGTTACCTCCCACTGCAAAGGAAACCAGTACATGTTCATAACTTAAAGCTAGGGTTGGTAATCCTGGAAAACCCACAACTGATACACCCCACGCCCTCTTTTAAAAGCCACACCCACAAAACACAAGAACATGCATTGCCTGACAACTGCTCAGAGCCGACTTTTCCTTGATTCCTTCACTAACTTCTGGCCTTCACCTCTACTTCAGCGGTGTACGTCTCTCTCTGCCTGAGGACTCCGGCAATGTATAGTGACAAGTACACTAATGCTGACCAATCAGTTCTCTTGGTCCAAAGTGCCCGTGGTTTTTATAGTCCTGAGAGGGTCTTTCTTTTCAGGCTACTCTATTTATTAATGGTGATATGGCCGTGAAAAGAATTTCAACATAAAAGATAAAAAACACAACTCACCAACCCTACCTTTATCTTAGTTTTGTCGTTTTATCAACTGCAGTGGACACAACAAACTGTTTTCCTATTCTCGGTTTCCTCCTCTTAATAAACCAGCGTTTGTTTAAAACGTGTGGGATCATATGACTGATGATATTTCATGCCCTATTGCATTTTATTTTTGATGCTGCTGCTTCGCCAGGTCCCAGCAATTAAATGACTGTGTATAATGTTATTATTACCAGTAGGAATAAACTATGAAAATAAAGTGAAAAGAAACCTTATCTCTTAAAAGAGGTTTTGGTGACACGGCGATAAATAAACTCAGCTCTTTTTTTAAATGGCTCTGTGTCTCACTACAGATAAAGTGTATGAGGCTTAGCAACGTTCAGTCTCCCATGTTTGAATGTGGGTCATGAGTGCCCGAGGCAGCCATTTCACCCGGCCAGTGTACAGTGAGGAGTCAATCCCCTGAAGGAGGCTGGTATGTCATTAGACCTTCCCGCTTAGTTCAGCCATTATATAGTTCCGTTGCAATTCCCGTCACCAACTCTAGACCCCTCCGGTGTGCAACCTCACCGAGGGTCAAACAGGAGGCAGACGGAAATGGACCAAAGATGATGGATGGCGTTACTGCGCGATGCGTGATGACCGTTGTTCTTCTGCCGCTACGGCCCTAGGGTGATTGTCATCCCCCATGAAATCAAATTACACATGAATAATCAATGTGCTTGTTTTTAGATTTGAGATGATACTTATTAGTGTGGATTTGAGTGAGTTTGTCAAGTGCCTGCTCGCTTCACCGTGTTTGTATATCTCGGCTGTTTGTGCATCATCACAGGGTTTTATTTATATTTTTTAAATTTATTCTCACGTTTATTTTTACATCGGAGTATTTGCAGCCTTTTTTCATTTTATATATTTCTTTATTCCTTCCTGGGAGTGAGCGTGCACGAGTCTGTGTGTGTAGGTACATGTGCAGCTGAGCAAAGACAATTTTGAAGGGGGGATATTAGAGATGGATGGATTACTGAAAATCTTCTAAAGAGGGACAATCCATCATGCACGCTTATTAGGCACACACCCTGATTCTCAAATGGCATTTTCTCTATCATATCTGCTGTCACTGTGATACCATCCAGACATTCAGCTCAGCTCAGCGCGCCTCTGTCTCTCCCCTAACTCCTTTTCTCTCCCCGCTCTTCTCTCCTCCTCCTACCCTGTTCATGACTTTGCACAAACTGCGAGCCATTCAGGTTGCCTTGGTAATGTTAATAGGATTAGCAATGGCTTATGCATATCCACCATCCCGTGTCTGGGCATTGATTAGAGCAAAACAGTCGCCTGCACATCCTCCTGCAGCACACTGCACAAGTACAAACACTCTGCAGCGTATGATGTGGTCCTCAGCATTGCCCCCCCTCAGTGCTGGCTCTTTTAATGTGTCAAATTGTCCCTGGGCTTGTGCTTCACAGACAAGAAGATTAAAGTTTCCCTCGTGTTCCCTCAGCTCTCCTCGCCACATTCTGAACTCAAAAAACCTTCCCTCGACTTAGTTGAACTTCCTCCTTGCAGCGCCGGAAATGTTTACCTATTTAAATAATAACACTCAGTTGAGGGGTCTCGTCGCACCACTCAGCTAACTCCCATCTGTCTGTGTGTTTCCTAGGATTATGATCTCAGTCAGCTCCAGCAGCCGGACACGATAGAGCCTGATGCCATCAAGCCGGTGGGAATCCGCCGTCTAGACGAGAGACCCCTCCACCCCGAGCCACAGTATCCCATGAGGTCAGCAGCACCCCACCCTGGAGACATCGGAGACTTCATCAATGAGGTAAAAAAACACACCAGCCATCAAACACTGATTGAAAACTGAGATCAAATCAAATGAAAGGATCAGTGCTGTCAGAAGGTTTTGAGTTTTTCATTTTCAAGTTGAATGACTTTCTTATGAGAAATTTGTATCTAAATAAACAATTTGTTTCAGTATCAAGGAGAAAAACCGGCGCCTTGTAGAGAGAGAAAAAACTTTACTTTAAATCGAATCAATTATTATTAGAATTGTTTTCATCTTTTCCCAGAACAAAGCAGAAACTTTTCTCATTGCACATAGACATGTACTAAGCAAGAAAAGTACATGACGCTAACTCACTTAGACATAATTGTTTTTCCCTTCACTTTCCCTCAAAATAGAGTTATAGACGGTTCAGCGTAGAAATAGGAGATGAGAGGAGCAATAGAGTGACTTTCCATCGTATGGCACTGTAAAGTGTGCCCTCCTTTGCCTCAGGCCATCATTGACTCCAGCATGAAGGGAGAATGTAAAATGAAAAGAGCAGTCATGTATTTTTCACAAGCTCCAACAGACAAGAGTTTCACAGCATTACAAATGGAGTTCTCTCCTAGTTTTTGGATGGTGCCCATGTTTTTAGATTAGAACTTGCCCTTTCAGTTCTGCTCCCCAACCGTCTATCTCTCAGATCCCTTTACTCAGCCGCCGCTCATTTTCGACTCTCACCATGTGTCGGGTATACACCTAACACGGTTGCCGTAACAGCAGCTATGAGGTGAAATTCAATGTTTTTTGCGCTGTCCAATAAAGAGCAGTTTGACAATGCGCACCCTCTTCCAACAGAACTTGTGATTTTTAATATCCCCGCAAGACCTCAGGGACTTTTCAAGTCTGAGCATCCTGACCCAGAAAACACTCTCTGCAACCAGGCAATGTTGATCTGCTTTTTAGTCCCAGATTTGACTGTCGCTAAAGCTCAGTCATGGTCGCTGCGGTGCTCCCATGGAGCCGGAATCTGACCTAACTGATAAGGGCGAGCGGCCAGAGGAGCAGGGAGACAGAGACGAGTGGATAAAGGGAGGGAGGGAGACGGGGGGTCTGATCTTCATCCCAAAATGTGTACACGCCCACGGGAGCTTGTGGCTCCTAATTAAATTACAGGGACAAAAAAAATTAAGCATAGTGCTAGCATAAGTGCTTTAACCCCACAGTCAGACAAACAAAGGTCTATTAGTCAACTCCTGGTCTGTTCCCACAGAGGGGGGGTAACATTAAATACATTAACGCCAAACCGACATGACCCCTGTTGGCCACAGGTGGACACAATGCCACAGGGGGAGACATTACTGAAGTGATTTGCTTTCAGCATTTTGCAGGGCCTCACTTCTGCCTCGGCCAGTTGTGTGTGCATAGAAATACCAGCAGGTTCGATTACGCATCTTTTGTTAACTGTGGGAAACAGCAACCCAAAAAAAGTTCAGCTCTTAAGAAGTTGCGATTGTCTCTTGCACAGCCGGTGACTCAGTTATAGTGAAACTATGAAGCAGAGTTCTGTGATTGACTAACCTCATGAATCTGCCAGTGGGGTCTTGGTTGTAGTTAAAGGGGGCTATAACCAGCAGAGCGATTATGGTTGCAATTGTAATGAATAATCCAGCTGTCATATTTCCCACCAAATTATCAGCACCACAGCCCTGAGCCGATACTTAATGAAAGCTAACAAGTGGAAAATAATCGCTAAGTGCCCAAGCGGTTAAATTCAATCCATCTTTTTTTATTTGAGAGCATTTCAGTGCTGTAAAGGCAGCGCAGAGGAAACAATAAATCTTTGACAAGTTCCCGATGAGCTGATGTCTCATCTCTCTTATGTGTTGTGTCGCTCCACTTGTGTTAATTCATTTATTGTATGTTGGGCGTTGGGTGTTGGGTCGGGTGGATCCAAAGTGGTTCATGGCCCGAACACAGCTCAACTCCTCGATTAGTGATCCGTTAATCTCCAGAGTCCCGTTAAGGAACTAGTCTGGAAATCAATAAGAGTCCGTAAGGATGACTCTGGGCGTGTCGAGCACAATCTTCAAAATACCCCCCACCCCCCTCCTCCCAACCAGCACCATGAGCCTCAAGATAACACAGAGACACACCTGCGACATGCTCCCCTGATTGTTGCCTCTGTCGAGTCTTTCACTCTCTTTTACTGTTTAGGCAGGAGTCAGATAAATGTGAAATATTAGAGATATTGCTATTTAGATTATAGATAACAATTGTGTTGGAGTTGTACTATCTCTGCATGGGCCTTGAAGAAGAAGAGAGGGAAGGCTGAGCACAAGGGTCAGTGGGGGGGGGGGGATGATTCCAATCATCTGAGGCTGCTGGTCACACTCAATCTTGGTTTATGATCAAAAACATGGATAATCCCACATCCCAGAAACACCAGGAGAATACCAACAGAAACACAAAGGAAACTCGCAGGAACACGAAAGCTTGATTTCCTGAACAAGTGGAGGCAGAAGCGCCGACTGGTTTTAAGGATAGATTAGCCTGTTTGTGTGCAGCAGTGGGGGGGCGGGGAGCCGCGCTCATATGGCTCGCTCCTCGTTGCAGACCGTGTCGGCTCGCAGCTTAATCTCTCCATCTAACCACGGTTTTATTTCCTCCTGTACAGGGACTCAAGGCAGCAGACAACGACCCCACCGCTCCTCCCTACGACTCCCTGCTAGTGTTCGACTACGAGGGCAGTGGCTCCACGGCCGGCTCCCTAAGTTCCCTCAACTCCTCCAGCAGCGGGGGCGACCAGGACTACGATTACCTCAACGACTGGGGCCCTCGCTTCAGAAAACTGGCAGACATGTATGGTGGAAGTGATGACTAAGGACATGCAGCCGCTCCTTGAAGGATGAAAAGATGAAAAAAAAAATTAAGAGAAGGAATGATTTCCTGTTGATGGACATCTACAGCTTCTGATATTCCCCCGAGAGAGTGACGGAACTATGACAGAAACGAAACAAAAAAATAAAAAATAAACAATGATTCAGAAAAAAATTTCAAAATCTACCAACCTAGGCTTATTGTTGTAGTCTACGCATACATATGCTTGTTGAAAGCTTAGGCATAGGCTGTGGTCCCGTGACGGAGGATGTGGTCGGGAGCACAGATGGACTGTCACCACTCGGATTGTTGGTATTGAATGCGCTCAGTTACACTTGAATTTCACAGTACAGAAGCACTGGGATATAATGTGCCTTTTTGTACATTTTTTTTGGATCTAAATGATTAGTTTTATGTTCAAGGCTTTAATGGTACTGACTTTTGGAGTGATTTCAAACGTATGTTACACTCTGGTATGCTTCTACATGCTTTTTTCCTTTGGTTACACAATGCTCCTGCTTGTTGACGATTATTTAAATAGACTGCAAAGAAAATGAAGGATCATCGGTAAGGTTGGACGGAGAGAAAAACAATTAAGAGCAGCACTGTACAGAATGCTAGACTTCTTGACTTTTTCACTAAAAATTAAAGTTATGCAGCTGGTTGCAAATAAAGGGAGTTATGAATAATACTTTTGTAGCAGGTTTTTTTTCTCCTTTTTTTGAGGTGATGTAGTATTTTACAAAAACAACAAAAAAAACAGTTCTGGTCTAATCTATGTACACTTCATTTGCCTTAGTCATCATCTGATATTTTCAAGTTTTACTTCACTGTAAAAAGTTGTGTGTACATAATGTTTTTTTTTTCTTTATCTCCTATTTTCTTTTTGATGTAGTATATGAAGAAGTGCAAAAAGTTCCAAACTTGTAAATGTATAATTTGGACTACAAATTCAAAGTTTTTTGCATGTTTTTATCAAGAAAAATGAAAAATGTTGTTTCCCAAATTTATTTACAAAGCGAAAAAAAATAAAAAATCTGGGTGACATTAAATGTGTAGAAGTTAAGAGAGTTTTTTTGTATAAAACATGGAAAAAACACTGATAAAAATGGAAAAGTAGTGATCTTGTCAGCACAACTGTTGAATTTGTACCAAAAAGGGGGTGTGGGGGGGTGGGATGACATGCTAGACATTAATTAATGAATCAGCTTTAAGACTGGAAAAGGTTTTGGACTTCAGCCTTGTGGATAACATGTGTACTGGAAAAACAAATTATACATCTCTGACCCCAACCATCCAATAAAATGCTAACTTTGGAGCTAAAATCGCCTCTTTATTTATTTGTTCATACTCAAACCCAGCATTGTTGCAGAGGCTTAATTAGACTGTGAATTGTGCAATTTATCTCAAAGGACAATAGTTTGAAACAAAAACTATATTTCACTGGAGAATATTTAACCCGAGGGGAGAATAAATCATTTATAAGCTTATTTATGTGTTGTTTGCACAGACTATAAAGAAGAAAAGTGCTTCAGGCCCACACAGGTTTGTGGATGATAAGTTGTGTGACCTGCAGGCAAAGAAGAAAACAATACGTTCATTCTGTAAATGATATCTGAGCGTCCCTGAGACAATTCAAGGTCAAAAACTCATGGAGCCGCCAAATCAGTACAACACTGGTCTGCTATGCGGGACGTGTACTGTGAAGAACTTTTGTGCTGCTTTCAGCACGCGTCCTGTGAAGAAGATGCCGACGAAGATGTCAAGTCGGTGAGACAACAAGATTTTAGAGCTTTTTGGTAATAAGGGCCGTTGCCAGAGTCGATGTGCTGTAAACGAAAACCCGTGACTTCTGCAGCAGAATTTATACGGCATGTCCTGCACACCCCGCCTGAATGATCCACAACATTTTCCTGTTGTTGAATGCATCTGATACCACCTCCTGCTGCACACTGGACATATGAAAGGCAAGAATGTCCGGACCCAGTTTAACAGACCTTGAAAGTGGCTCAAGTCAGAATGGGCTTGGACCTCAAACCCAAGGGGCACTCGTCCTGGGACTTAAAGACGGATGAAGAATGACATACCTGTGTGTATTTCTGTGAGTACTACATGTGCTGGTGATTCAGTGATTACATGTCCAGTAAGTATAGTGTCCAGTGTGTAGCCGTCACCTGCCTCTCTTCCATCCCCCTCTCTTCACTCATGAGTCTTCACGGAGCCACCGCTTGCTCCCCGTTAAATAGATGAGGACAAGGCTTATTAATTCAACCAAATTAGGCAGTCCTCACTCAAAAGGAAATGAAGCTCTATTAGAGAAGAACCAGTGAACTGTGCAGTCTTTTGTTTTCAGCTGGTGTAATCGGTGTAGCTTAATCACTTCTACATCCTGTAACTTCCTAACAACACTGGTAAGTTTTCATGCATCATCCTGATTAAGCTCAGGAGCTGCTTCTAGAGCAGGGGCGGATCCAAAGGGTGGGGCCAGGGGGGGCACTGTCCCTAGCTGAGTGCCCCCTCCAAAAACTTACTTTCAAAACTGTACTAATAAGAAAATTTGACAATTTGTTAAGAACTTTTATTTTCTAAGAAGGAACAATTTTCAAAAAATATTAAATATTGTGATTACTAAACCAGAAAATGTACATGAATTTTAGACATGTAATTGGCCCTTCTGTCTAAACTGTGGCCCCTTTATGGCCCTGGATTTAGAAGAATTCTAGATTGTCCAGAGCATATCACTTCATCTTACAGAATGCATAGCAGTGCACTCTATTTGCCAGACGCAATATGAAATTTTGCAAATCCCAGTCAGATGAAGTGTTAAGCAACCAACGGTTTGACCTTGAGGCGTTGTTTCAACTGCGACTGACGCCGAGTCAGATTTGTTTTACCAGATCACTTCCTCTAACTTTGAGGTTTTCAAACCAGATGGTTGGTATTTAATATATTTCTTTTGCCTCTGTTTTGCTCATACAGGAGTCATACCGAGTCAGCCTCTGCCTAACTACTTTCTCTGCTTTGAACTCAGGAACTCACAGATGTGGTCGGTGACTCAACATATGAAAAAGGTCTCATCAAATCCATTTCACAGCTAAGAAGTGTCCAGTTAAAAACTGTGCAGCCCAGCAGGACATTGTTTCAGAGGAAAGTTTCACACCATTAAAGGAATACTTTGACATTTGGGACAAAAATGTTCTTGCATATAGATAAGATCACTATCAGTCCTGACGTAGCTGTCCTGCGTTAATACTGCAGCTGTTAGCTTAGTGAAATTACTGGAAATGGGGAGGAGGCTATCTTAGCTTTGTCTGAGGGTAATAAACGTTTCCAACAGTCTCAAGGCTTTGCACACTGGGCAATTTATTTATTTATTTGTGCAATGAATCCACAAGTTATTAATACTTTTCGAACTTTATCCAGTCAATGCCAGCTTCTACATTGGCAACAGAATTTTCACTTCGCCTATAGCTTTTATTTTTCTGACTTCTCAAAGGTTTCGCTTCCAACATGCACACATCAAACCAATCAGAATGTGTGTTGTTGAAGCAGAAGTAGTAAAAGAACAAGGTTTGTCGCTAGTTGTTACTCACAGTTACTTTTATTTTTAAAAGAATATGATGAAGCCGACTCCTGTCGAAAAAAGTAAATGTGCAAACGCTGGGACCTTCATCAAATCAAACACTTAACAAAAAACCAGGATCTTGGTACCAGCTGTTCTTCAAACTGTCTGAGTGGCTTCCTGAAATACGCCCTGAAGCACTGTGATCCAATTAAAACTCCAGAAACAAGAAGAGAAACTCATCAAGTTCTCCTCTCTTCATCAATATGGGGTGTGCACAGGTATTGTGTCTTTTCTTCTCATGGTGTTGATCCCATCTTTCTTTTACTGGGGCGCAATTTTTATTAGACTTTTGTATGTTCTAATTCGCATTGCACTTAAAGGTTCAGTGTGTAGAATTCCGTCCAAACAGTCCAAACAGCCTTCATAAAAACTCAAAAGATGTTCAGTTTGGACTAAAGTAAAATACATGACGACCTCCGTAGAGAGGACCTGCTCCCGATGTAAATATAAAGTTATTTAAATATATTGGGGCCATTCTAGAGTAAAGACAACAACAATTAGTACAATTTAGATGAAAACTAGTGAAAACATCAGGAGGATTATTTTAGATCCAATTTCTGCCCATAGATTCCTCTCACCTAAATCTTACAGACAGGATTGTAAGTACAGGTATGCCAGCCACCAGTCATTTGATTCAGACTAAATGATTGGTTGTGTTTATTACAGTCCTGCAGGGGCCACAGACACCAGCTTTTTTCCCTTTTTTTCCCAGACGACTTTATGTATTGATGGCTATCGGGACCTGAAGCCTCTAAAATGACCATTTTACATTGTTCCAAACTGTTGTTTTTTGGCCTGGACACTTGTTGTCACACTTCATTTAGGATGAATAAAACAGTTTGCTGTGAGCACAAATGTGATGCAACATGGATTGTGTTATCTCCAGTGAAAGCAATGCTAGCAGTTCCCCCCCATTATCAGCCTCTGTGCTCAGCTAAGCTAACACTTCCGGCTGTGACCTTATATGGAGATGGCAGATACGAGAGCGGTATCAGTCGTCTCGTCTTACTCACCATCCGGGAAGCAAATTAGAATTTTCCCCTCAAATGTCAAACTTCAGGATTTCCTCAGATAATACAACAAGGTGCGTGGTGTCATGGTGGCAGCACAAACTACAGTGCACATTTGTCCACTTCTTAATGCTGCCTCTTCCGCAGCTTAACTCCTCTACAGGCTCCTCCACCCTGCTGCATTGTCATATTGATGTTCAGATTGCTCTGACGGGTTCACATCCACCAAGCACTCATGTCCTGTTTCATTTTTTCCAATCCTCAGCAGGGGAAAGAAAGAATTGATATTCCAGCTCTGCACTTCAATTTCACAACATGGATTATCCCTGAAGCAACGCTGGCAATCTGAGAGCACCCAGGACATAAAGGCAGCGGCTACACAGCTCCTTCACTATCCACACCCAAAATACACTGGTTACTTCTGTGCCATTTATAGACATGCAGCATTAGAGAGTGCTTAACAGTACAATGGAACAGGTCTGCTTCTGCCTCACTCCTGCAGGATGTATTCCATTGGAACTCAAAAGGAAAGCATATATCTAGGATTCTAATCATTGACATTGACTGACTGAGCGGTAATTGGACAATTGTGTGAGGAGCGTATTTGTTTTTATCATTTATTTGCCATATGGTCCAGCAAGTACGGGTGGAATAATTGCCCACAACGGTATCTCATTTGCACATTTTATTTAGCTGACAAATGGATAAAAATAGTAGTGCAAGGGAATTTGAATGTGCACAAGAATTATTTGCAAAGCTAATTAAGCTGGGTTGGAAATGAAACTGGTTGCATCTGTCACGACGTCTTTGACGTGTTAAATGCATATTAAAAGAAAAGCAAACACCTCAAGACAAAATTCTATAGATAATCATAAACATCTGCCACATTTCCCTCCAGTGATCCTGCATCTTTTCACATCAGATACTGCAGCATGTTCCGGGCAGATTATTGTTTTTGTTTTGTTTTTTATTCGAAATATTTGATCCAAAAAAACACGATGAGAAACTCAACTTATAACCCCCAAGTACTCCTGAGATGTTCTCTTTGGGAAATGGCTGCAAATTGCTGTTCTTACAAGCACCCCAGGGCCACTTTTATTGACTATGAAACAATGCTTTCACCAACACCCCCTCACCATCACAGATTTACAAGACAGCCATCCTCAGCTCCTTACTGTTTGTATGTGATGTGTGTGTGTAAGAGAGTGAGAGAGAGAGTGAGAGAGAGAGAGAGAGTGAGAGAGCGAGAGAGGATGTCTGAGCAAGTGTCACAGAGCGACCCAGCCTCCATTGGGGGGACTGTCAGTAAACATGCAGAATACAGACTAGAATCCGATGCAAACCAGCTTCTAAGTTATGCTGCTGCTGACCTTTGGTGGACTTTGGGAAGATGGATGCTGCCCAGGCTATCGATAGAAATTTCTGGCCTGCAGCAGCAACAGCATATTTCTTATGGTTTCCCAGCCCCTGCATGCTACCTCCGAATGAATAAGTAAGTAGGTTGGATGACAGAAGCGCACACACACTGTGCACATGCGGTCTTCAATGTATTTGTTTATGGGCCTATAGTCACTTGTGTGGAATCAATCAATTGAATTTCTTCTCTCTTGCTCTAAAAGTAATATTAGATCAATTAGTTTGGATTGCTTCGGAGTGAAAGGGACCTGCTTTTGAGTCCTCTACCTTTTTT